TAAAAGGGGGAGATAAGTCCTGCAACCTTTCTGGTTGGATAAATTCACTCCAAGATCCAGAGAAATGGGAAATAATTGAATACTATGAAATACTCTATATTTAATTTACTAGAGAATAATTTGCAAAGAGAAATTCTGGAAATTTTGGGAAAAAGAATCTTAAAAGGTAATATTTTTAGTGAAACCGTTAAATTTATTATTAAATTTAATTCATTTATTCTTGAAAAATCAGCGATTTAAGTATTCCATGAGTGAAAGTAAACAACATGCGCATGGAATAGGCAAGCAATTAGAAGATATTCCCAATATAAAAGAATGTCAAATATTTACCACGATTTTGAAGGAAAAAAAAGATAGGCACATATTTTCTTCGTGCGTAGCTTATGATACTCCTGAGAATCCAATAATTATTGTTAGTCATGTTCCAAATAAGAAAAAAAAACTTGCCAAAAAATCGAATCCAAAATGCATAAATATCCAAATTGGATGGATGATTGTGGGATATCCAACAGATACTTTTGACTTTGAATTATCAAATCAAATTATAATTGAAAGTGAAAAACGAGAATTGAATGACCAATATATTGTTGATAATATTTCGCATATGACTAATTTGAACTTAGGAAAATTTTCATTATCTACATGTGTTATAGATAACGTAGAAAATTCTTTACAAGAAACATGTTCAACTTCAGAGTTATCATCAACTAACAATTCAAACAATACAAATCAATTAAACGTGCGTGATTTTAAACTAGTCGTTGGGTCACATTTTTCCCTTCGCCTAAATTCTGCTTGTTTATTTGCTTACTGCTCGAAAATGCGCAAAAGGCAATTGAACGCAGACGATGAGTCACTTTTACGACATTTAAAATTATTTATTTGGTAATTAATACTATACATTCTTTAGTAGTATACTAAACATTTTCATCGACTAACTTATGTTTCTTATTTATTAGTACTATTTATACAAAACAACTTGTTCCTATTGAATACTTTAATGACAAAGTCAAATGGAAAAGTAAGAATATAGTTTCAAAATCAAGAACTTTATACTTGAAAACAGATGGAATTAATCCCAATGAAAAGCCTATATTCGTAAATCATTCTCTTGACAAAGATTGTCATGACGATGAATGCCATGGAATAATTAATGCTTCTCCCGGCCATCTTCATTTTAAGGTATTAAATGATTATTCATCTGTTAACAACAAACCAGAAATTTCTTATTTCAGTATCTTTCCAGAGGAACTACTGTATAAAAATGAGGTTTGATTTTACGATACAATTATTTTTTCTTTGTATTTTATTAATATATTGAAGGATATAAATATAATTAGTATATATAGATATAATTATAAATATTAATTATAAATGATATTCGATATTTATATTTTTGTAATTAGATATTTGAATTATTTTATGGAAATAGAAAAATATATCGTTAAAGAATTAGTAATAAAATTAATGAATTTTAGTTAATTAATAAGCCCATTGCTTTTAAATAGATATTTTTGCATTTGCTTGTCGGAATATCAGCTTCTATAGATTCATTATCAAAACTAAATATACAATATCGAAGCGTATGTGTAATTTCATATTCTGAGTTATCACTTAAATATTCATCTTCAGATTTATCACCTTCAGATTCATTGTTCTCAGATTCACTGTCAGATTTTGTATATTCGGAATAATCATCGTATAGACTGCAATCGATATCTAATCTAATTTTAT